CCCGTGCCCCCCCTCTGCGCGTGGCCGGGCAGAGAGGATCGGATCGGATCTGCTCGGCGGGGAGGAAGCGAGGACTCGATCGGGTCGGATCGGCTCAGCGGCGGATCTGAGTTGAAGGGGGGCGGCTTGCCAAGAAGGCGGAGGAGCGTCTTGGAAGGCAAGGGCCTTCCTAGAAGGCGAGAAGGTTTCTTACAAGCCGGGTGGGCTTCTAAGGAGGCCCCTGCCTTCTGGGAAGCCCCGCCACCTTCTCAGAAGCCCACCCCACTCGCGCCGCCCCCGTGCGGTCGCCGCCAACGAGAAAGTGGCTGGGGGGTTCTGCAAATTCTAGGCCCCCTCGCGCAATGAAAAAGTCACGACGAAAGGTTTTCTGCAGTCAAAGACTGCTCAAGAAGAAAAGACGGCACCAGGGAATCGGTCGAGACATCTGGGGGTCCACACACCAACCCTGGGAAGCGGATCGTCCCAGGGGCGCCGCCGCAGGCGTCGCCAGGGTTAGGTCGGGCAATTCCCCCTACAGGAGCATGTTGGACGAAAAATTAAAAATTGTCCCCCCCCCCCCCAAAATGTCACACATAGTTTTAAAAACAGGCCCACAAATATGTGTTGACTATTTGTTGATATTGCTCCTGTAGAGGGACACGCCCGACCTAACGCCAGGGTGTGAGACCGTCCACGACTACTCGGGGGGCCTGGTGAGGCCAGCCGGGACTGCACTGGCAGAGAGCTGTGAATGCGCCACCCGAGACATCACCGCTCGGGGGTCGATGCTGCCCCTGCCTGGGGCAACGCTGCCGTCCCACACACGCGCCGCCCTGACGCTTTCAATGCGGGGTCCCCGGAAGTCCCGACCCGCTCCCCAGGACCAGCTTTCCATCCCGAGTCCTTTTCGAACGGGCTCCTGGGGCCTGGCAGGAGCCCCCCGGAGGCCGAAGACGACGAAGCAGAAGCCCGCCGCGTTTTTCTTTTATGACGAACGAACAACACACACCCATACCCAAAGGGGGGTTCGTGGGGAGGAGGACTGGCTATGGGTATGGGTGCGGGTTGTCGGACCCTGGGGAACCCGCACCCATAGCCCTCTCCGACCCCTTTATGGGTATGGGTGTGTGTTGTTGGTTCGTCATTTTACGACTCGAGCATGCCTGCCGTTGCCCTGGCTCACCAGCTCGCGAGCCACGCCGGTGGCCGCCCCCATGACGCGGTCAGCCACCCGCAGCTCCTCGAGCGCGAGGCGCGGCCCCGCGCCCCCGCGCGGCGCCCCCGCCCTCGCGGCCTCGAGCACGCCGCGCGCCAGCTCGCGGTAGAAGCGCCCCTCGCTGCTCCCGGCCAGGGCACTTCCTCGGCAGGGGGCCCTGAGGGATGGGAGCCTGGGGATATGTATGTTTGCCCGCGCGGACCCCTTTCAATCCATATACGTCGTGCGATCCATCTTGCGCAAACTACGTGGTGCAATGTATGTGGTGCCAGGAGTGTTGACCGATAGGTTGTGTTCAATCGATGTTGCGCAGTACATGTTGTGCAATCGGGTGTGCGTAATCGATGTGCAATCAATGTTGCGCAACCTGTTGGGCGCAATCTGTGTTGTGAATATGTACGTGGTGCAATATATGTGGCGCGGTCCGGGTTGTTCACCATATGTTGTGCATAGATGCGGTACAACGCACGAACTGCAATATCGATATATATATATACATATTCACACGCACCTGTATATATATATATATATATGTATATGTGTGTGTACATATGAATATATGTACATACAGATATACGTCGTGCAAACTATGTGGTGCAGTTTGTGTGGCGCAACCTATAGTGTGCAGTACGATGTGTACAACGTATGTTGCGCAATACATGTTCTGCCATCTACATTGTGCAACACGGTGCGTGCAACATGCGTTGTGCAATATATATATGTGTATATATATACATACATATATATTTATATATGAGACTATGTGATCTACGTGGAACTATATACGAAGTGCAATTCACCCTGCCGAACTTGAAATTGACAACCACTGCTTGCGCAACCATCCCGCGCAGCCACCCGCAACTTGGTTAAAAAAAACCCACGCGGCGGCGATTGCGATGGGTGATTGGCGTTGGCTGGTGCATCTCTGGGGCCGCGCTAGCCCGCGCATGCTCGCGCGCGAAGTGGCCAGCTAGTTTGGCGCGACAGACGCGGCAGCGATGATGCTGACCGCTGGGTACTTCCCAACGAAAACTTTGGTGCGAGTCGGCGACTTGGGCGGGCGCGGCATACCAGCAACGTCGACAACGGTTGGCACGATGATGATATAGCAATGGTGGTGACGATGTTGACAGCGACGACGGCGAGGCGAGTGACGGCGCCGATGCTGATTACGCCGACGATCATGACGGCGTCCTCGCATCAGAAATGAAGGTTTTGGAAAGAGTTCGACATGCTCCCGCGGCCGACGCGCGAATGGCGCGCATGGTATTAGTTGACACGGATCGTGCCCCCCACGCACGCGCGCAAGGGCGTTCGAATGATGTCGACATGCGGCGCGAAAGGCCCGTTTGGCCGAATGCCATGAAAATGTTGAACAATTGTGTGGTACTCGCAAGAATTCGCAAGAACGCGAAGCGGGCATTTTTTTTAACTGGTGTTGCAAAGCCATTGGCTTGTGTATGTATCCGGGGCATTCGATTTTGAAATCACTACGAAACCGACGGTTTTGAAAAAGATGTCCGCATGTGCGCGCGACGACGCGCGCGTGTGCACTCCGTCCCGTCTGTGGCAGGAGGTTTGCGCAACAGCACGCGCGAAAGGGCGTTCGAGCGACTTCGACATGCGCGCGAAAGGCACACTTGGTAGCAAGTGATGGAACTGGTGAAAACTAACGTTTTCTGAATAATCAGCAATTCGTGTTGCGAAACCATGTGATTACATATGATTTCGCGACACTCGGCCTCGAAATCCGAACGAACCTTTCGGTTGCTGAAAGATTTCGGCATGCGCGCGCGACGCTTTGCGCGTGTGCACTTCGCCCCTTTGCTTCGCAAGGGATTGTGAAAACTGCCAACTTCGGATAAACGAGTGGCGCACATTGTTTTTTCAGCGAAGATGGGGGTGATTACGGGACTGCCTGGGGTGATACGAAATCAAATCTAAACCGAACGGAAGAGCAGAACCATAAGCGATTTGCATTACGCAAACCGGTCACGTTAAGTCTGGGGTGTGTGTGGGGGGGGAGATCCTAATACATTTTTAAAAACAGGAAGCCAAACTGTTTTCCCCTATGAGTTGTCAACCCACTGCAAGCGCAGTCTTCCCACCCACCCACCCGCAACTTGGTTTACAAAACGCCAGGGGCGGCAATTATGGTGCCTGCCTGGCGCTGGCCGGCGCATCGCTGCGGCCGCGGTAGCGCGCAGGATCGCGCGCAGAGCGGCCAGCTAGTGCGCGCGACCGACGCGGCCGCGGCGGCGCTGACCACTACTTCCCAACGCGTCTCGCAGGCCGCGCTGACGCGCGGGCACTTCAGTGCGAGTCTGTGACTTGGGCGGGCCCAGTATCGTGGCGACGTCGACAAACGGCAGACACGATGATGATACCAGCGGCAATGGTAACAAGTGTGACGATGACAACGGCATGGCAAATGACGGCACGCCAACGACGATGGTGTCCTCGCGTCAGTGATGGAGGTTTTGGAAGGATTTCGACATGCGCGCGCGGCCGACGCGCGCGAGTGGCCCGCATGGTACTATTTGACGCGGGTTTTGGCCCCCCCCCCCAGCACGCGCGCAAGGGCGTTCGAATGATTTTGACGTGCGCGCGCGAGAGGCTCATTTGGACGCATTTGATGAAAAGATGGTTTTCTGGCGGGTTCGCAAAAGTGCGCACTGAGACATTATTTTCTAAAACTGATGTTCAAAAAGCATGTGGTTTCACAGGTTTCGGGATTCTCGATTTTGAAATCCTGACGAACCCATTTTTTTGCCGGATTCCGGCATGCGCGCGCGACGACGCGCGCGCGTGTCTGTTCGTCAAATGCGTTTGCTAAGGGATTCTCGAAAGCTGATGATTTGTGATCAACGAGTGCGCGCGCATAGCAATGTTTGCAAAAGGACGGTAGGGTGGTCGAAACCGGCCTAGCTTGGATTGTGTGAATACACCTTTAGACTGGACGATGGGGCAGAATCATACGAAAATTGTGTATCCCAACGCACGGGGATAATCCCACGCGGGCGGGTAGATCCGAATGCGTTTCTAAAGGGAAATTCATGTTGTGCCACCGATGTGGGGCAACATGTGTAGTGTAATGTGTGGTGCAGTCTGCGTTGTGTAATACATTTAATTCAATGTATGTGGCGCAACCTATGTGCAACATATGTTGTACAGTCCATTCGGCACACTATGTGGCATAATCTATGTGAAGCACTATTCGTGATGCAATATACTTGTGGGCTACCTATGTGGCGCAGCCAAATGTAGTGCAACCGATGCTGTGCAATCATGGTGGGGATGTGCAAAAACTGAAGTGAAGTCGTGCAAACTATGTTGTGCAAGATATGTTGCGCACCATATGCAGCGTTATACAAATGATGCGGCATAGGTGGTACAACCAGTGTAATGCAATGTATGCTGTACACGCAATGCGGTGCCGTAAATGTGGTGCACTCTATGTGGTGCAGTCGATGTGGCACATCATATGCAATACATGTGGTGCGATCTGCGCGGCGCAAGCTATACTATGCAATAAACATTGTGCGACCAGCTGTGCGCAATATATATATATATATGTGGTGCAGCCTATGTTGCGCAATATGATGTGTGCAGTGTACATTGAGCACTCTGTGTTGAACAATATATGTGGTGCATCCTCTGTAGTCCATTACATCTTGCATGTTATGTTGTGTCACCGATGTGAAGCAGTACACGTGATGCGGCAATGTAATGCAACACATGATGTGCAATCTATGTTGCGGGATATACGTTGTGCAATCTAACGGCGGCGACGAGCGGTGGTCGAGCGGAGACGGGGCGGCGACGGCAACAAAATAGCCACCAGACCGACAGACAGGCCCAGTTGCGGGCGGCGACGAGGCGGCGACGGGGCGGCGACGGCGGCAACATAGCCGCCAGCCCGACAGACAGGCCCAGTGACGGGCGGCGACGAGGCGACGACGGGGCGGCGACGGCGGTAACATAGCCGCCAGACCGACAGGCAGGCCCAGTTCCGTAGAAGAGAAATAAAATCCCTGAGTGAGAGCACTGTTTGGGGAATCTATATATATAAATATATACACACACATCCGTATACATACATACATACAAACATACATACATACATACATACAGCCATCCGTACACACATACATGCAGACATCCATCCGTCCATCCATCCATACACACATACATACGTTACCTACATACCTACATATGTACGTACATACATATGCATAATCATATATACATAGATATACATTGTTGTTTGAGGTATCTCGTCCTTCGGGCCCCGTTCCCCTGGCCCTCTGGGCCCCATCCTTGAACCGCCGATCTCTTTGGCGGTGCAAAGGTGGGGCCCGGACGGATGGGGCCCTGAGGATAGGAACCCAAGCATGCTCGCGTCGGGAAAACATAGAGGCCTCCTAGATGGGGTTCGAGTGGATGGGGTCGAAGTGTAGCGCCGCATCGCCAATGCATCGTCGACGTGGGCGGTGCGTTGGCGACGTCGACGTGAAGCAGATCGGGCTCCTCATCGAGCCGCATCGGCGATGCATCGGCGATGCGCCGCGATCCTCCGACCCCCCACTTACTCGGACCCCCGGACCCCATCTAAGAGGCCAAAGAAAAAGTCAGCTAGGACGGCAGGTTTTTCCCCGGCCTCGGCCTCCCGGGGGCCTTCGCCGGACCTCCGGACGGTCAAAAAAAACGGCCCGGGATGAAAGACAGCCCCCATGGAGAGGGTCGGGACTTCTGAAGACCACGCACTGAAGAAGTCAGGATGTCGCATGTCCGAGAAGGGGCCCAAGGTTGGACGCAGCAGAAAATACGATCGGGAAAAGGTATCACATAAGAAATCTGGGCCGGCGTCCAAGAAGTTCCTCTGAGCAGACCAGAGCCAAGTCCTGTTGTTAACGCTGGAGGGGCGAACGCGCGCAAGAACCTGGGCCAGTTTTCCGGCGAGTTGGTTAAGAAACGCTGGCCCAGCTATTCGGAAGGAGGTGTCTATATCAGGTGCACGAATGTGAAAAATACATATGTGTATATATATATAAAGATTATAGAGACATATAAATAAATATATATATATATATATATATATTTATATATACATATATATATATATATATATATCGGAGGATGGGGGGTGAGATTCGCAGTGAAACGGAGACCCCCCACCGGGAAATCGGTTTCGGTTTCGTGTTCGTGTCGTGCGTGCGGGCGAGGCGAAGTTGCGCGTGATCCTCCTGTAGCTAGGCCAAAGTAGGAGCGAAAGTCCGTTCCCGTCCGCCGGTGGCCGGGAGGTGTCCCAGTTGGGCCGGGCGGTGTCCCGGGTGTCCCGGGTGTCAGTAGGAGCGAAAGTCCGTTTCCCGTCCGCCGGTGGCCGGGAGGTGTCCCAGTTGGGCCAGGCGGTGTCCCGGGTGTCCCGGGTGTCCCGGGCGTGCCGGCGCTAACGCATGTCGCTAATTTCATAATTCATTTGTTTCGGCGCCTGCGGCGGGCTTTCTTATCCAATCCAGCTTATCTGATCCAATACATATTGTCCAATCCAATCCATCTTATCTTATCCAACCCATACTGTCCCATCTTATCTTATCCCACCCAACCAATCCAATCCACCCAACCCAATCCATCAATTCATTTGTTTCTGCGCCTGCGGCGGGCCTGAGAGAGAGAGAGAGAGAGAGAAAGGGCGAGAGAAATTGAGAGAGACAGAAAGAGAGAGAGACAGAGACAAAGAGACAGACGAGATCAAGGTGACAGGCTGGAGGTCAGTCAGGGTGGGCATTTGATCTCAATCCCCCCCAAAACGTCTTTATAGCCCGCAGGGCGGTAGAATAGTGTATATATATACATATATATATAATATATATATTATATATTATATATATATAAATATATATTAGGAGGTTGGGGGGGAGTCCGACGTGAAACGGAGACCCCCCCTACCGGTAAATCGATGTTGGTTTTTGGTTCGTGTCGTGCGTGCCGTGCGTGCGTGCGGGCGAGGCGAAGCTGCGCGGGCTGGCGAGAGGAAATCCTCCTGTGGCTGGGCCGCGGCCGGACCAAATGTTTCTCCTCCGGCGGCCGGTGGCCCGCGGTGTCCCGCTGGTGTCCTGCTGGTGTCCCGAAATCCTCCTGTGGCTGGGCTGCGGCCAGCTCAAATGTTTCTCCTCCGGCGGCCGGTGGCCCACGGTGTCCTGCTGGTGTCCCGTGGTGTCATGTGGTGGCCCGTGGTGGCCCGTTGAGGGAGATCGATAGTGAGATCGATAGTGAGATCGATACTGAGATCGATTTGGTGCCCCGAGGAGTCCCGTTGTGTCCCGTTGAGAGACATCGATACTGAGATCGACAGTGGGATCGACAGGTGTCCTGAAGTGTCCCGTGGTGTCCCGTTGAGTGAGATCGATAGTGAGATCGATAGTGAGACCGATAGTGACATCGAGAAGTGTCCCGCGGTGTCTCGTGGTGTCCCGTGGTGGCCCGTGCTGTCCCGTGGTGTCCCGTTGAGTGAGATCGATCGTGAGATCGATAGTGAAATCGACAAGTGTCCCGTGGTGTCCCATGGTGTCCTGTGGTGTCCCGTGGTGTCCCGTTGAGTGAGATCGATCGTGAGATCGATTGAGTCAGATGTTGGTTCCCCCCCTCTCCCCCCCAAACCTCCTTATCACCCGAAGGGTGGTCGTAAAGGTATACACATTGCTTGAGGAGTCTCGTCCTGAGGGCCCCATCCCCCAGGCCCTCCAGACACCATCTTTGAACCGCCGATTTCCCGTGAGCGGACGGCCAGCCTGCGGGCGCGCCGGCAGCTGGCGCAGCAGCTCCTGCAAGATCTCCCGCAGCAGCTTGGGGCCGGCACCATTTCTCTGTGGCGCAAGGGCGCAAGGCCCCTTGGCCGTGACAGGGGGGTTCGGCTACCTGCCTTGGTAGGGCCTTGGGAGGAGGGAGGAGGGAGGAGGAAGGAAAAGGGAGGAGGGAGGAGGGAGGAGAGAGGAGGAAGGAGGGAGGAGGGAGGGGATGGAGGGAGGAGGGAGGAGGAAAGAGAAGGAGGATGGAGGAGGAGGAGAAGGAGGAAGAGGAGAAGAAGGAGGAGGAGGAGGGGCGGGAGGAGGAGGAGGAGAGGAGGAGGAGGAGGAGGAGGAGGAGGAGGAGGAGGAGGTGGAGAGGAGGGAGGAGGAGGAGGAGGAGGAGGAGGAGGACGGAGGAGGCGGAAGAGAGGAGGAGGGAGGAGGAGGAGGAGGAGGAGGAGGAGGAGGTAGAGGAGGAGGAGGAGGAGAGGGGAGAGGGGAGGAGGAGGAGGAGGAGGGAAAGGAGAGGAGGAGGAGGAGGAGGAGGGGAGGAGGAGGAGGAGGAGGAGGAAGAGGAGGAGGAGGAGGAGGAGGAGGAGGAGGAGGAGGAGGAGAGGGAGGAGGAGAAGGAGCAGGAGGAGGAGGAAGTACCCTCCAGGCGCTATACGGCACCTGAGGGTGATAGTGCTGCATCTCATGGAGACACTATCGCTCGCAGCGGAGAAGGAAGGAGAAAAGAAAAGGAGGGAGAAGGGTGGTGGAGGAGGAGAAGGAGGAGAAGGAGGATCCGCAAGCCTCTGCGCGGACTGTCGGCCGCGCAGGCGCCCGCGCGCGGCCACGCCCACGGGCACGGGGGGCCTGGTTTCACCACCTGAGGTGCCACGACCCCCCGACCGCGAACACGAAGAAGTCGAGCTCGCACGTGGACGGACTTACCCTTGCCGTCCATGTCCGCGGGAGGGGGGAGGGGCGAGGGCCCTGCACGCGTAGCGGCGAGGCCGCCTACCACCCCCCCCCGCTGCTCCTCCCGCGGCCTCCCGGAGCCGCACCGGAGCCCCTGACGCGCACGCCGCGGCCATCGGAGCCCCCGCCGCCTGCGCCGCTGGCTGCGTCCGCGAGCTCCTCGAGCTCGACAACCAACGCAACCAGCACGCCGTGGTCGAAGGGGGGGCCGCCGACTGCTGCGGGCAAGCCCGCGCTCTTCTGCAGGCGGGTGACGCGCTGGCGCAGCTGCCACACCTCCATGTGGTCGAACTTGCCGCCGCTCTTGCCGCCCTTGCCCGCGTTCTTGTCCTTGCCGCCGCGCGAGCCTGTGCCGCCCGCCAGACGTCCGCGCCGTACCACAGGTAGGTCGTCCGCCCAGTCGTCGGGCGGCAGCGGGTCGGGAGACGCGACGGGCACCATCGCCACGCTCCTTTCCGCCCCGACGTCGACCATCTGCTCGTCCGTGTTGGTGTCCATCGCGCGCACGCCCGAGCCCGCCGCGCCGCCGCACCCGCGAGGACGCCGCCGCCGCCGAGGGGCACCAGCGGGTGCCTCCTGCGCCTGCGCGGCTGAGGGGGGCTCGGGCGGCGCTACGAGGGCCGCCAGCGCGGCTCGCAGCAAGCCCTCGGCGGCCCGCGTCAGGCGCTGCGCCTCGCGGTTGCCGCCCGACAGCCCAGCCGCCGCGTGCGTCGCGAGGATCGCGCCGCGCACGGCCTCGCGCGACGCCATCGCGCGGCGGGCCTCCATCTCCACAGCACCTGGCATAGGAAGACGGCGGGAGCGCGGGCACCCAGCGGCGGCGACTTAAGCCAAGATGGTACTAGGAGGAGGAGGAGGAGGAGGAGGAGGAGGAGGAGGAGAAGGAGGAAAAGGAGCAGCAGCAGCAGCAGGAGTGAGGAGGAGGGGGGACGCTCGGGGAAGGAGGCAGGAGAAGGAGGAGGAAGAGGAGGAGAAGGAGGAGGGAGGACAGGAGGAGGAGGAGGAGGAAGAAGAGGAAGAAGAGGAGGGAGAAGGAGGGAAAGAGAGAAGCCGCTAGAATCCGTTGATGCCCACGCACTGGTAGCGAATTGAGGAACTACCGACGCCAGGCGGCGGTCCACGGAGGACGACCTCGCACCCGACAGTGCTCTCGCCGCGAGCACTGGTGACCTGCGACGGGCCCGTGGCCAGGGAAGAGGCCCTGCTGAATTCTCTGGAGGTTCTCGTGGCCAGTCTTGTTGCGGGGCAGGGAGCACTCCGTAGGGGAATGGCGCGGGCCCTCCGTGCAGTCAAGACGTGCATGGAGGGCGGGTGGCAAGGACGCAGGACCCTTGGAGGCCGCAGCTGGGATTTTGGTGGGGCGGCGGGCGACCAGCGAAAACGCCAAAGGACGGGCCGCAGAGGCAAGGACACAAAGGCAGGCGAGCCCAGAATCGAATCGATAAGTCGGATCGGCGAGAATCGGCGAGAATCGGCAGGCCAGTGGGCCTCTATTGAGAAATCGGAATCCATGTCGGAATCCGAAGTCGAATCGGATCGGAATCGAAAGCCATCGAAATCGAATCGAATCGAATCGAATCGGAGCAGTCGAAAAGAGCCTTGCAAGGGCAGCACGGATGAAGGCGCGCGTCCTTACCAGGCGCGTTGAGTGCAACAGTTCTGCCACGCGCGATACAAAAAGTGAGGCCCGAGGGGGGCCTGAGAAGGCCGCTCAGCGGCCCAGGGGGCAACACCGATTGAGTCCACCATCGATTCGGCCGCTCGTCGTCGTCGTCGTCGTTGTCGACGGCGTCGTCGTCGTCGACGTCGGCGTCGTCGTCGTCGTTGACGTTCACGGCCATCCCGATCCTCCATCCCGATCCCCCCCCCCCTTCAGCCCACCGCAACCCCCCGATCCCCGACCCCCCTCCAGAGACTGCCGACGCCAGCCGTCCGGCCAACCACCGCTGGCCCAGGAACTTGAGCTTCAGAACTGCCATCCCCCGCCCCAGACCCCCCTCGCCGACGGCACGCGCCCCCCCCCCCCCGAACCCCAGGGGGGGCGAGTAAACTGTCACATGAGGAATAACTGCTCGCAGACAGCCTGGTTCCGGCTCGGGGGGTCTAGGATTCCAGCACGACGACGCGACGCCGCCGCCCGTGTGCACTCCCAGAGATCGGCGTCGGGCGGACGCTCACCTGCGAGGCCGTGCGTCCACGAGGAACTGGGCGGCCTCGCCCGCAAGGGTGCTGGCAAAGACGTTCCCAGTCACACACACATACGCTTGTGCTGGGAGAGGGAGGGGTCCTCAGGATCGACGCGGGACGGAAACCGAGCAATCTGGGCATCCCCCTCCCCCTCCTCAAGGAGGGCAGCGCGCACGCGGAACCACTGATCGGAGTTGACTCCACGACGGTGCTGGTAGCGCTCTGAATAACACCTCTTATACAGGGAAGCGTTGTCAGTGACGAATCGGAGTAGTCCTGGGAAAACTTGCGCAACGCGAGCTCAAACCCTCGAGCTTCGGCCCGAGGGAGCGTCTGGCGCCGACCCCCAAGGCTCGCGGCAAAGCCGAGGGTCCTCCGCCAGCTCCCAGGGGCCGACTCCATCAAAATGACGGCCGCGCTCACACGTCTACAACGAGGGTCACTGCTGCACAGGCCCTCCGAGCCCTTTGCAAAGGCAAGCAGAAATCCGTTGGACTCCCGCAAAGCCATGATCGCACAGGCTGAGCCCTGAGACTAATGCCTGGGCCCTGATCTCCGTTCCAAATCGCTAGAGTGGTCGTAACACATCTGCCCAACCTCGCCCCGCCGCTGCCTCGGCCACCTGACGGAGGACAGCCGAGGGGTCCATCCCTCGGCATGATGACCGTAGGCAGATTGCCCAGAACGGGATGTCGGCCACACTGGGGAGGAGGAGGAAGAGGAGGAGGCGGAGGAGGAGAAGGAGCAGGAGGAGGAGGAGGAAACGAAGAAACGAAGAAGGAGAAGGAGAAGGAGAAGGAGAAGGAGAAGGAGAAGGAGAAGGAGAAGGAGAAGGAGAAGGAGAAGGAGAAGGAGGAGGAGGAGGAAGGGGAGGGGGAGGGGAAGGAGGACAGGAGGAGGAGGAGGACAGGAGGAGGAGGAGGAGGAGAAGGAGGAGGAGGAGAGGAGGAGGATTGGATTGGATTGGATTGGATTGGATTGGATTGGATTGGATTGGATTGGATTGGATTGGATTGGATTGGACTCAAGCGGAGACCAGCTCAAGCCCGGGCGCAATCCAATCTCAGGGAGCGGGCCAGGGGACTCCGCACTTGGGCGTGAGTCCTCGCGAAAGGCGGCTCAGCACCTCTGCTCCCGCCTTAGTGGGACGGCGTGACGGGGGGCAGACTTTACAAAGCCCCCATGCGTTCACAGTGCCGAAACTCCCACAAACAACACAATAAAGCACATCCCGAATCACCTCGAGGGTGTGCGAACTATCAGCTTGCATATACAAGGGATGGCAGGAGGGATCTGCAGGCGCCAAGGCGCGGGCCCCCGAACACCGACCAGGGAGGAAGCGTCTTAGAAGGCCATTCATCGGAAACGTACGTCCACGAATCTGACACTTAAAGTCGGCAGAACGCTTGACACAGGAGTGGCCTGCTGCTGTGAGGCGGGCCTTCCTGGTAGCAAACGCCGACAGAGCACGGGGCTTACGCGGGGCACGACCAACACGGGCTGAAGTCAGGCGCTTGCATGACTCAGCAACCTCCAAATTCACTGCAAGCAACCTACCTAGAATGGAGTGGGTCAGCTCATCTTGCTGTCGAACTTTCTGCACCACATCTTCTGGAACTTCACTGGAATCTGCAGCCCATCCTGCGAAGAAATCTGCACATCAGTTCAGGAAATACTCATCCGACTCAATTCCGAACTTCAACTGCATATCTGGGGTAGCATGAGACTTAGTCCATAATACTGAGACGTTACCAGGTCCACGATTATCTAAAGCATACCACACTTTAACCGAGTGCCCCAAAGCGTTGACGTAAGTCGGGCCCTGTCAGCGGAGGGGAGTTCATCAAGAACGAAAATACCCCTATCCCTGTTAACACGAAGATAGGGGAACGAACAATCACATAAGCATAACAATTCGAAGGTCCGCGCGGATTTCTCGGATCGGCGCTGGGGCCCCTTGGCGCCGCCCCTGGCGCGCTCCGTGCGCCAGGGAACGGGTCCAGCGCCGATCCGAGAAATCCGCGCGGACCTCCGAGTTATTATGTTTATGCCAAGTTCCCTTCCCCCAAAAGTGAAGGTCTGATGCCACCAGTCCTTGTGGGCTTCCACCAGGCGAGCGTCAAGCCCTACATGTGTGAACCATGGCACCTGAGAGAAGGATTTAACACCGATCTGCTCGGCGAAACCCATAGTGGCGACCATGTAGTCATTCATAGACGCACCGTCGCCCTTCGTGCAGGTGTGCTGGACACCGTCACAGAGCAGGACAACTCCATCTCAAAGCGCCAAGATGCCAGATTTCTGACAGTAAGCGGGTGTGACTTTCCAATCGGCACAGGCCACCCAAGAATCATCAAGGGTTGCCAGAAAGGCCGACAAAGCCTTCACCATCAGAACGCGGTCGCCGCCCTACGTGTGCCCAGGGAACCAGTAAGAAGACACGACCACCACGCTTCCATTGCGCAGGTGCAGCGCGAGCGGGAAGAATCCGCGAAAGTGGTGGTCGTCCTTGCGTAGAAACTCCCAGCTGGACGTGGCGAGGTGGCGAGTGGCCATCATCCACTCGCCGCCCCGGGTACCCGATGCTGGCTTGCCATCAGCCTCCGCGGGGGTGGCTGGCAGCTTCCAGCCGTCCTTCAGCGAGTGCAGCTTCCTCGTAGCCAAGTCCTGGGACGCAACCTGGGTCCCAGCGGGGACCAGGATCTCGAACTGCATGCCTGCCCCTCTCGTGAAACCATGAGCCTTGGGGCCCCACTCAGGAACATTACCCAAAAAACAGGCGCGCGTCATCCCTCTGCCGTGATAGATTGGCGCCAACGCCCTGACCGACTGCATCGCGTGCGCCAGGTCCCCGTCGAGCAGGAGAAAACAGAAAGGAGGAAGGGAGGGAGGAGGGGGCAAGGGAGAGGGGGGGGGAGAAGGGCAAACGAAAACAAGAGAACAGAAAGTCTGCCGCGGACCACTGCCAGTCAAGCTCCGGAGAGATTACAAAGCAGTGAAAACAATCTGGCAAATAGCAATGAGGACCTCGCCGCTGCCCCCCCCCCAGTCGAGGCATGTCTTCTTAGGGAGCTGTCCTTGACGCAGGCTCCTCAAGGCTTCACAGACTTATAGGCAGGCAGAGCTGCTGGGGCGCGAAGGGCCACATTGGCGCCCCATGGCACAAGCCACGGGGCCCAAATTCGGCCCGGCATCCGCAGAGCCCGCAAAAGGTACAGCGACCTTTGCTACAAACTCCTGCTCCTCCTCCTCCTCCTCCTACTCGTCCTCCCCCTCCTCCTCCTCTTCTGCCTCTCTCCTCCTCTCCTTCCTCCTCCTCCTCCTCCTCCTCCTCCTCCTCCTCCTCCTCCTCCTCCCCATCGTCCTCCTGCTCCTCCTGCTCCTCCTGCTCCTCCTCCTCCTCCTCCTCCTCCTCCTCCTCCTCCTCCTCTTCTGGCTGCCATGCACCCAGTGCCCGTGTAAGAAGACTGAGAGACGGAGGAGTAGGAGGAGGGCAAGGAGGAGGGAGCAAACAAAAAAAGCACGAGGAATTGCGAAACGCGTCCTCCCTCTTCGTCGCCCGCGGGGGGCCGCCGCCCTCGGCGCCGGCCGTGCCCGCGGGCAGCGCACCAGCCTCGGGCGCGCCCGCCTCGGCGAGCACCTCTCCAGCGGCCGCCCGCCGGGAGATCCGCTTTCCGCTTCCTACTTCACCTCCTCTGTCCTCAGTTCTCCTCCTCCTACTTCTCGTCCTTCTCTCTCCCTTCCCTCCTTCTCCTATTCAATATTCTCTGTTTCTATCCTCTCTTTCCTCCTCCTCCTCCTCCTCCTCCTCCTCCTCCTCCTCCTCCTCCCCTCCTCCTCCTCCTCCCCCGCCTCCTCCGCCTCCTCCTCCTCCTCCCATCCTCCTCCTCCTCCTCTCCCCTCCTTCCTTCCTTCCTCCTCCTCCTCCTCCTCCTCCTCCTCCTCCTCCTCCTCGGCGAATGGCCACCCCTACGCGTAGCCCAAGCCGGCGCTGCCTGACGCAGCCGCGCCAGCGCGGCCACCAGCGGCGCGGCGGCCGCCCCAGGCCCGGCGCGCTTTGCGCGCAGCGCCGCGCTCGGCGGGCAGCGCAGTTCAGGGCGCCCGCCAGCCAACCTAAGAGCCAGACGACGACGACGACGACGACGACGACGACGACGACGACCAACGACCAACGACGACGACGAAGCCAACGCCCACGCCCACGCCCACGCCCACGACCACGGCCACGACCACGACCACGACCACGACCACGACCGATACCGATACCACGACCACGACCACGACCACGACCACGACCACGACCACGACCACGACCACGACCACGACCACGACCACGACCACGACCGTCACAACTACCACGGAGACGGCGACCACGACCACGACCACAACCACGACGACGACGACGACGGCGACCACAACGACGACGACGACGACGACGACGACGACGACGACGACGACCACGACGACGACGACCACCACCACGACCACGACCACGACCACGACCACGACCACAACCACGACCACGACTACGACTCCGACCGCAACCACGATCACGACCCCGACCACGACCACGACCACGACCACGACCACGACTCCGACCGCGACCACGACCACGACCACGACCACGACGACCACGGCCAGCACCACCGACCACGACGTCCCCCCTCTTCCTCCCCCCTGCCGACTGTCGTGCCCCATGACTGCGGCAATCGCCTGGTGGAAAAGGGCTTGGCCTTTGCTGCGTGGAGTGCCGATCCGATACCCCTCACCCCCCGCCCCAAGCCGACTCTGGTCTGGATTCGCGCAGGTGGCTCCAGGCTGGCGAAATCGTCCTGATCACCCCGCCTCAAGCGGACGGCGCCTGGGCAAGAGACGCGGCCCGTCGCCACACCAGCGCCTGTACAGCCTGTCGACTGATCGGTTGGATGTCTCCGGCGCTGCATGCTACGTTCGGACTTTGGAGCTCGCCTGCTCGATTTCCAAGAGAAGGGCTGGGTGGCGCCCTTTCGAAGCTCGACGTCCGTGCCCCGTGCAGGCGAGCGTTATCCCTCGGAAAGCGCTGAGGGGCGGCCTCCCGGGCACGTTTCCTGGAAACCCGCCCAGAGTTGTCGTCCGAGGCCGGTGTCTTACCGCCCTGGGGCTGGGACACGACCCCCGGAGGCCAAAAACGAGGGAAAAGCGCAGGCTCGGGGGTGGGTCCCGGCGGGGCGCCCTGGGCGCGGGGCGCGAACACTGATGGGGCAGGGGGGAAAAATCAAAAAACAAAAAAAAAAAAAAAAAAAAAAAAAAAAAAAAAAAAAAAAAAAAAAAAAAAAAAAACGGCCGCAGAAGCAGAGGGGGGAGGGAGCCCGACCGTCGACCTCCAGCAGCCGCGACGTGGTCTTGGGACGGCCAGGTCTGCCCGAGCGCTGCCAAGGCGCCGCGAAAGATTGCAGGCGACGTGCGGCCCCCCAAGCTCCTGGGGACCAGCTCTCCGTCCTACGGACCAACGCTTGACGGCCCCGGCGCCGAGCAGGGGCCTCCCAAAGGCCCGGAAGCCAAGACCCCCCCGGGTGATGAAGGGTTGGCCCGCACGGACACCAAACAGCGCGTTCTAGAATACGGGGTGGTTCTCTCCATGTGGTGCACGCTGTGTGGTGCAAGATGTTTGGTGGAAGCTATGTGGTGCACATATCATTTGGTGTGACGTATATTTGAGCAACATACGCAGTGCAATCTAGATGGCGTGATGGAAATATGTGGTGGAGGTTATGAAGCGCAATCGGCGTGGTGCTACGTGGTGCATTTGATTTCTACAAACGGGTTGACACATTCCATGGTCTTTCAAACATCTCACCCACCCACAACGTGTTTTGCTGAACACATGCGGCGGCAATTGCGATGAGAGCTTGGGGTTGGCTGGTGCATCCCAGCGGCCGCGCCAGCCCGCGCATGTTCGCGCGCGCAGCGGCCAGCTAGTTTGGCGCGACCGACGCGGCCGCGGTGGCACTGACCGCTGGGCACATCCCAGCGGCCACTTCACTGCGAGTCGGCCACTTGGGCGGGCGCGGTATCATGGCAACGTCGACAACGGCAGAGACATCGATGGTAGTAGCGACGCTGGCGACGATGATGACAACGGCGACGGCGCGGCCAGCGACGGCGCTGATGCTGATCACGCCGACGACGATGACGGCGTCTTCGCGTCAGTGGTGAAGGCTTTGGAAAGAGTTCGACACACGCGCGCGGCCGACGCGCGAGTGGCCCGCGCGAAGTTACTTGACACGGATCGCGACCACCAGCACACGCGCAAGGGCGTTCGAATGGTGTTGGCATGCGCCGCGAAAGTCCCGCTTGGCCGGATCGAGTAAAAAAATGAAAACCCGATGGCTTCCTTAAGAATTCGCAAGAGCGCGACCGCAACAATGTTTGAAAACTAACGTTGCCAAACCATGTTCTTACATGTCTTCGAGACACTCGATGCTGACATTTTCCCGAAACCGAAGGAGGTTTTGAAGGATATTGGCATGCGCGCGCGACGACGCGCGCGGGCTTCGCCCCATGGTTCGCACATGGTTTTTGCAACAGCGCGCGCGCAAGGGCGTTCGAACGATTTCGACGAGCGCACAGAAGAGCCCCATGAGGTAGCATGCTATGAAAATTTAAGAAAATGTTGTTTCCTTAAGAATTCGCAAGAGCCCGAACGCAAACATTGCTTGTAAATCTGCATTGAAAAACCACGTGCTGTTTATATGCTTCGGGGCGCTCGATGTTGAAATCCTTGCGAAGCCTCAGGTCTTTGAAAGATTTTGGCACGCGCGCGCGACAACGCGCGCGCGTACACTTCGTCCAAAATGTTGCCGGCGTATCTTGGCAACTTCTGATTTCTGATATAAAAAAAGCGCGCGCAATATTTTTGTCCAGAGGGTGAGGGGGTGGGCCTGCTTGGGATGGCACGCGCTCGTAATGTTGATGAACGGTGGGGCAGAATCATTTGTGCATTGCGACACGAAAAAGTGAGCCGTGAAAATCAGGGGAGGGTCGATCATACTACTCTTTTAGAACAAAGACTTCACCGTGCCGAACACCCTCCAACTCCACTGCTCGCTCATTCACCCCACCCACCCAGACGCAATTCAATTTGCCAGGCCCATGCGGCGGCGGTTGAGATGACTGCTTGACGCTGGCTGGCACATCGCTGCGACCGCGCTAGCGCGCGCGCTCGCGCGCAGAGCGGCCAGCTAGTGTGGCGCGACGGGCGGTGGCGCTGACCGCTGGAAACTTCCTAGCGCGTCTCGCAGGACGCGCCGACGCGCGGGCACTTCAACGCGCGTCAATGGCTCGGACGGGCGCAGCGTCATGGCGGCATCGACAACGGCAGCACGATGATGATAGGAGCAATGCGGGCGACGGTGATGACAACGACGACGGCAAGGCCAATGTTAGCGCCGATGCTGGCCATGCCGATGATAATGATGGGAACCACCCGTCGGCGATGAAAGTTCTGCAATGATTTAGACATGCGCGCTGGGCCGACGCGCGCGAGCGACACACATGGCACTCTCTGACCTGGACCGCCCCACCCACCACCCCCAGCACGCACACAACCGCGTTCGAATGATTCCAACATGCGCGCGCGAGAGACTTTGGAGCCCTTGCGAAACAGAAGGCTTGTTTGAAAAAAATCGGCACGTGCGTGCGTCAACGCGCGCGTGTGGATCCGTTGTAGGTAGATGTTGCAAAGAGTTCTTGAAAACTGGTGATTTGTGATACACGAGTGCGCGCAAATAGTACTGTCTGACGAGGATGAAAGGGGGTCACTACCAGTTTGACCGGGGTGCTACGACATCATGTTTATCATACGCGATGGGGCAGAATCAGATGCAAAACGCACAGCCCCAGGGGGTACGGATAACCCCGAAAAGGGAGTGTAGACCCTAATTCTTTGTGGGAACAGAGAACATACGTGGCGTAAGCTACATGGCGTAATGTATGTTTAGCAAGCTACGTGGTGCAAGCTAGATGGTGCACCCCTACGCGGTGCAATCCATGTGGTGCTAGCTACGTGGTGGAAGTCACTTTGACTGTCTTGAAGCTGTCCTCTCAATTGCTCGAGCAAGCATCCCACCCTCCCACCCGCAACTTGGTCGCAAGACCTCTTAAGACCGTGACGGTAAGTACCACATGGCACTTCACCGACGCCGACGACGACAGCGACAACGACGACGACGACGACGCCGCCGACACCGACTACGACGACACCGGCGACGTCTCCAACGACTTCGACGACGACGACGACGACCACGACATCGACGACGACGACGACGACGGCGACGTCAACGACGCCGACGACGACGACGACGACGACCACGCCGACGACGACGACGCCGACGACGCCGACGACGACGACGACGACGACGACGGCGGCGCCGACGACGACGGCGACGACGACGAAGACGACGACGACGACGACACCAACGAAGACCACGATGCGAGGGAGTAGGGAGGACGACGACGGCGACAACGACGACAACGACGAGGGAGGAGGGAGGACGGCGACGACGCGAACGACGAAGAAGGAGGGAGGACGGCGACGCCGACGACGACAACGACGAGGGAGGAGGGAAGACGACGACGACGACGACGGCGACGAAATAGGAGGGACGACGACGAGACGCCGACGACGGACGACGACGTCGAGGGAAGAGGAAGGACGACCACGGGGACAACGACGACGGAAACGATGAAGGGCGCCAAAGAGGACGACGACGACGAAGAAACAGAGGACGACGACGGCGGCGACGACGACGACGAGGGAAGAGGGAGGACAGCGACGACGACGACAACGACGACGACGACGACGCAAGAGCGCGCGCGCACGCTTTTGAGGAAAACCCGTTTTGCTAAACCCTGCGTTTTTGTATGATTTTGGGACACTCGATCTTGGAACCCTTCCGAAACCACAGGTTTTTGAAGGATCTCCGCACGCACGCGCGCGACGACGCGCGCGCACGCACTTCGTCACATGTTTGCAGAGGATTCTCGCGACGGCACTCGCGCAAGGGCGTTCGAAAAATTTCGACATGCGCACGCGCGAAGCCCTTTGTTTGTATTTTGTGCCACATTGAGAAACCGACGGTTCCATTAAGATTTCGCAAGACCGCGCGCGATTTGTTTCAGAAAATCAGTGTTGCGAAACCCGGTGTGTTTGTATATTTTCTTGGAAACTTGATTTCGAAATCCTTCCGAGACTTAAAGTCTTTGAAGAATTTCGGCATGCGCGCGTGACGACGCGGGCGTGTGCACTTCGTCTCATTGTTTGCAAGGGGTTCTTGAAATTTTATGATGTGTGATAAACGAGTGCGCGCGCATAGTATGCTTTGCAGAGGATGGCGGGGGGGAGTGATACAGGCCTGGCTGGGAGAGTACGAATTCATATTTAGGATGGACGAACATGCAGGATTAATATGAAATCACAATTCCCCTCGGGGGGGCCGTTAACTCTGGGGGGGGGGTAGAGTTTAACTTTTTGAGACGGGGGAATCTATGTGGTGGAAGCTATGTGGCGAAAGCTACGTGGTGCAATTTACAATGCAGAACTTGAAGTTATCAACCCACCGCTCGCGAAATCATCCCATCCACCCACCCGCAACTTGATTTGCAAAACCCATGCGGCAGCGATTGCGATGACTGTTTGGCGCTGGCTGGCGCAGCGCTGCGGCCGCGGTAACGCGCGCAAGCTCGCGAGCAAAGCGGCCAGATAGTGCGACGCGACCGACGCGGCCACAGTGGCGCTGACCGCCGGGGACTTCCCAGCACGTCTCTCGAACCGCGCTGATGGGCGGGCACTTTGGTGCGAGTCGGTGACCCGGGCGAAAGCGGTAGCATGGCGACGCCGACAACGGCAGACACGATGATGATTGCAGAGGTGCTGGTGACGATGATGGCAATGACGACGGCAAGGGCAAGCACGGCGCCGATGCTGATCGAGCCGATGACGATGATGGTATCTTCGCGCTGGTGATGAAGATTGCGACAAGAATTTCGACACGCGCGAGCGGCAGACGCGCGCAAGTGGCCCGCATGGTATTATCTGACAGGGATCGCGCCCCCCCCCCCGCAAGAGCGTAAGGTCGGCGGTTTTGACATGCAGTGGGGAGGCCATGTTGGTAGTATGTAATGAAATTAAACATCCGAGATTAATTCGCAAGAGCGCGCGCGCAGGCTGCTTTTGAAAACTGATGCTGCACAACCAAATGCTTTGGTATGTGTTCGGCTCCCTCGATGTTGATATCCGTACGACACTCGACATGATGATTAATTCGGGCATGCGCGCGCGACGACGCGCGCGTGTGCACATCGTCCCGTTTCTTGCCCGGGATTAATGCGACAGCACGCGCGCCAGGGCGTTCGAATTATTTCGTCATGCGCGCGCGAGAGGCACGTTTGGTAGCATTTGGTGGAAAATTGACAAAACCGATGACGTTCTCAAAATTTCACCAGAGCGCGAACGCATGTTGTTTTGAAAATCTGGTCGCGAAACCACTGTTGTGCGTATGTGTTCGGGGCACTCGACTTGAAATCCATACGGAACCCAAGGCTTTTGAAGGATCTCGGCATGCGCGCGCGACGATGCGCGTGCGTGGACTTCGTCGCATCCGTTGCAAGAAATTCTTGAAAACTGAAGATGTTTGATAGACGAGTGTGCGCGCATCAATGTTTTGGAAAAAAGGATGTTGGGGGTGGTCGATCAGGGACTGCCTCGGATGGTGTGGATTTGGATTTCGGACGGACTATGGGGCAGAACCAGATGTAAATTGCAATTCGGAGGGGGGGGCCGGAAAATCCCGGGGGGGGGAGAATAGATCCGAATACTTGCTTCGAAAAGGAAAACCTACGTGGTGCAATATATATATATATATATATATATATATGTGTATGTATATATATATATATATAGATGTGTGTGTACTGTCTGTGCAGTGCAATTCCAGGCGGCGGGCGGCGGCGAGGCGGCGACGGGGGGGCGGCAACAGACAAGAAGCCGGCCAGACCGACAGCCAGGGCCCAGGCGGCGGGCGGCGACGGGACGGCGACCGGGGCGGCGACGGTGACGACAAACCGGCCGAACCGACACCCAGGTCCACTAGGGCTCCCAACTTCGCGCTTCGCGCTCCGCGAAGCGCGAAGCGCGAATAACTTCGCGCCCTCGCGCCGCCCCCCCAAAGGGAGAAAAGGAGGACGAGGAGGAGGGGGAGAAGGAGCGAGGACCGCGAAGCGCGAAGCGCGAATAACTTCGCGCCCTCCTGGGAGCCCTTGGGTCCAGTTCCATGTAGAGCAAATAAGAACCCAGAAGGGCAAGCACTGTTTAATCAGGGAAAGCTCACGGCGGAGCGTTTTGTTATATGTTCGGTCTCTGGGGGCCCTCACCGAACCTCGGGACCGTCTGCACGCGACTCGGGATGCGAAACGGGCCCCAGGGAGTGGATCGAGACCTGTGGGGGCCGACGTCATCAAAAAAGAATAGTGACGACGGGGTCTGGGGACGTGCGACAACCTCCCGCCGTGCTGTCCTCGCTACGCAGGAGAGCCCAGAATCGAATCGAGAAGCCGAATCGGCGATCGAAACAAATCGGATCGGCGGGAAATCGGCAGCCGAGTCGGGAGAAGTCGAATCGGCGGACATCGGCAGACTAGCATGCCTCCAAGAAGAGATCGGAACCCAAATCGGAATCCCGAATCGAATCGACTCGGAATCGGAAGCCACCGAAATCGAATCGAATCGAATCGGAGGAATCCCTGCTGCGTGCCCCGAGGAGGCCCTCGTGCTGCCCCGCCCCCCAAGGCTGGCCTGGAGGGGCTCCAGCTGGCGACCCGGCGCAGGCGCTGCCTCCCCAGGCAGTGCCAAGGGGGGTCACCACGAGGGGGAGCCGCCCGGGAGTCGCCCCCTTCCCCGGGTTCTCCGGGTTCTCCGGGTTCTCCGGGTTAATAAACTGAGCCCTCCCCTCCTCCCTCCCCCGTCCCCCTCCCCCTCCTCCTCCCACGAAGCACCACCTCCCCCAGGAGATGGGGCCGAAAAACGGCCCCTAGGAAGCACCCAGACACGCGAGGCTGTTCGGCACGCGCACCCAGGGGAGGAGTCGAGCTGGGCGGGGCGGTCCAGCAGACGCACCAGGCCGTGCAACTACACGCCAGCTGTGGGGATCGGGGTGGCCTTCCCCTCCCCTGAAGAGCACCCCCAGGGCCACCCAGAACGGCCCTTCGGCGCCTGGAAGCCTCCTCAGTGCCTCAATCCCGGAGCCTCGACCCTCAGGAGCAGCTGGCGACCCCCTCGTGGTGACCCCACCATTGGCACTGCCCGACCTAGAGGCATCCTAGATGGGGTCCGAGTAGCTGGGGTCAAAGGATCGCGCCGCATCGCCGATGCATCACCGACGCATCGACGATGCATCGACGATGCATCGGCGACGTCGGCGATGCGTCGCCGACGTCGGCGTGAAGAAAATCGGACTCCACTTCGAGCCGCATCGCCGACGCACCGGCGATGCGGCGCGATCCTCCGACCCCATCCACGCCGACCGACCTCATCTAGGAGGCACTGCCCGACCTCCGTGGACTGCCGCCGCTCCTCCAGCCCGGGCACGTGGCCGCAAAGCGGGCGGCCCCGTCGGAGACCCCGCCGCGGAGCCCACGGGGCGGCGCCTGCACGCCGTGGCCCCCCGCGCGCGGGGAGCCCAGCCTCGGCAGTCTCGCCAGCTCGCCCGGCCGATCGCGAGACGCCCTCCCCGCCCCTCCTCCTGCCCCGACCCCCTCAGTCTGCCTCCATCCTCCTTCCTGCTCCTCTACTCCTCCTCCTCCTCCTCCTCCTCCTCCTCCTCCTCCTCCGCCCTCCTCGCGGCCGCGGGTGCGCCCCCCCACCCCACCCCCGCGAGCGGGCAGGGGACCCGGCCACCGGCCCTCCTCGGCGGCCCGATCCCCTCCAGCCGACCTCGCCGGCCTGCCTGCGCGCCGCGGCGGCCAGGGGCCACGGCGGGCGCTCTCTGTGGGGGTGGGCCGTTCGGGCGGCGGGCGACGGCACCGAACACGATGCCGGCGGCAGCGGCGGCGGCGACGACGAGCCGCGGCGGGGAGTGCGCGACGTCCTCGGGGTGGAAAGCTGGGCGCTCGGAAGCAAGACTCCAGAGGTTAGGGAAGTGCGTGGGGGACTCGAAGGCGCGGTTGGGGTCTGGGGCGTGCGCTCTCCAGGGGGGTCGGCGATTTGGGTTCGGAGATGTGGGCCCCGGAGGCCCTCCCAAAAACAGCCCGCGCCTCCCCCCCCCCCAAAAAAAAGGTTCCGAGGATTGGGGCCAAGAGAACTCTGGGGCCCCGCGTCGCAAGACCAGCCACGAGGTCTGGGCCCTTGTCCACAAGGAGGTGGAAGACGGGGAGGGTCCCCATTGTGGCCGCTGGCATGTCCCAGGACGAACTCAAGTAGCACAGCGCCCCTGAAAATACATAGCCTCGCGCGCTGAAAGCGCGCGTGCCTTCCTGTGGTCAACCTGATTCCTGGCGTACCCACTCCACGAGGAAGGGCAAGGCAAGGACACCTCCAGAGGCGGGAGGGACGGAGCTGCGCATGCCGTTTACAAGATGCCGTGCACATGGACATACAAACACTGATACTGCAATATGCATGCACATGTGGCGGGCTCTGGAAACCCTAACCAAACAAAAAAACAAAAAACAAAAAAAACAAACAAAAAACAAAAAAAAAAAAAAAAAAAAAACTTGCCACCTCTTGGGAGGCAACTCGTTCTTCCGCCGGCCTTCCGCCGGCTTCCGCCGGCAGAGGCGCCCTCGTTCTACTGCCGCCGCCGTCGGCCCAGGTTCCGCCGCCGGCCGCCGAGGAAGAGGCGGCAGCCCCTTCGACCCTCCCATGGCGAGGCCCTTCCTGGAGCGCCTCCTGTGCTCAGCTGGCCCCGATGCGCAGCAGGCAGCACCTAGGGCTCCCAACTTCGCGCTTCGCGCTCCGCGAAGCGCGAAGCGCGAATAACTTCGCGCCCTCGCGCCGCCCCCCCAAAGGGAGAAAAGGAGGACGAGGAGGAGGAGGAGGAGGAGAAGGAACGAGGACCGCGAAGCGCGAAGCGCGAAGCGCGAATAACTTCGCGCCCTCGAGGGAGCCCTTGCAGCACGCAGCGTGTGGGCACGGAGCTACACGCGGAGCTTCAAGAACGCACGCTCGGCGCGGCACGCTCGCCGGAGAATGGGGGCCGGCGCGTGCCGAGCAGCAGAAATCCGCCGCGTGCTGGCGCGCACGTTTTGACCACGGTGCGCGCTGCGCTTCAAGACGGAAGGGGCCCAAGGACACACAAAGAAATACACACAAATGAAAAGATTCCCCATATTTTCTGGGTTTTCGTCTTCCCCCCCCCACTTCCCATGATTTCCCAGATTTTCCTGGGGATCGACGATGAATTGTGTCTGTGTGTATCTTTTCCTCCTGAAAGACGGGCGTACCAGGGGAGCCAAGCTCGCTTGTGAACGCATACATGCTGCGCACGCGTGCACATGCACAGCAGGCCAGAAGAACGTCCCTCAGGAGCACGAGGCCCTGCGCCAGCCAGAACACACAGAGCGTCCAAGGGCACCCTCCCCAGGGTGCACAAGAGCATCCAACAACCACGAAGAACACTGGGGCACCCTCCCCGAACCGGCCTCGATCTTACACCTCGGCCCACATTGCTACGCTTAGGTCGGGCATGTCCTCCTACGGGCGGATGTTGAAAAAAAAAAACGCGAAAATGAACACAAAATACTCAAAAGATCGTCCCCTGCATATTTTTCACTATTTTTGAATACTCCTCCTGTACAGGGGCACGCCCGACTCAATGCTGCGCACAACGGCCAGCAAACCAACAGACATGGAAGTCTACACCCTGCAGCTGCGGCGCGCCCCTGGCGCCGACCGGCCGACGACAGAAACGACCTCTCTATGCGCCGCCGGGCCCCGCCGCGGCCGCGCGGGGGGGTCGCGGCAGAGCACCGCGACCGCGCGATCGCCCTCTCGCGCCGCGATCGGCGGCGCGCGCGCGCTGCGCGCGATCGCTGGCGGCCCGCGCGCGCTGCGCGCGCGGCATTCTCGCGGTGAAGTGCGGCGCGCCCCCCCCGCGGGGGGCGCGCTGCGCTGGGCCGGCGGCCCCTCAAACGCGGCCGCCGGCGCCCACTGGCAGGCGGCGGCTCTCGGCGGGCGCGGGGGCGGTGAGTGGGCGCAGTGGCGCGCCACGCTCCGCCCCGCGCCGCCCTCGAGCCGCCCTGGGCCAGGACAGCCGCGAGGGGAAGGGAGAGAACGCCCTGCTCCCCCCGCCCTGACCTCGTCCTGCTCCCCCACCTCCACCGCCGCCGCCGCCGCCGCCGCCGCCTCCGCCGCCGCCGCCGCCGCCGTCGTCGTCGTCGTCGTCGTCGTCGTCGTCGTCGTCGTCGTCGTCGTCGTCGTCGTCGTCGTCCTGCTCCTCTTCCTCCCTCCTCCTCCTCCTCCTCTCCTCTCCTCCTCCTCCTCCTCCCTCCTCCTCCTCGCCTCCTCCTCCTCCTTTTCCCCTCCTCCTCCTCCTCCTCCTCCTTCCTCCTCCTCCTCCTCCTCCTCCTACTCCTCCTCCTCCTCCTCCTCCTCCTCCTCCTCCCGCCCTCCTCCCCTCCCTCCTCCTCCTCCCTCCTCCCTCCCACTCCTGTCTCCTGCTCCATCATCATCATCCTCCTCATCATCATCATCATCAGCATCATCATCATCATCATTCAGCATCATCATCATCATCATCATCATCACATCATCCATCATCATCATCATCATCAGCATCATCATCATACATCATCATCATCATCTCAGCATCATCATCATCATCCTCATCCCATCATCATCTTCATCTCCTCCCTCCTCCTCCTCCTCCTCCTCCTCCTCCTCCTCCGTCCTGCGTCCTCCTCCTCCTCCTTCCCCTCCTCCTTCCTGCGTCTTCCCCCTCATCCTCATCCTCATCCTCATTCTCATCCTTGTCCTCCTCCTCCTCATCCTCATCCTCATCGTCTTCCTCATCCTCCTCCTCCTCCTCCTCCTTATCCTCATCCTCCTCCTCATCATCCTCATCCTCATCCTCCTCAACATCCTCATCATCATCTCCTCGGTCGAGCGGGCTGCGCGTTCCGCCTCAGACGTCCCCACCAGTTACGGTAGGCGAAAAACTTGCAACAGGTGCACGGTCCTTTTCCAAAAAGCAGCCCTGCGCCGCGCGCACCGTCGCCCTCAAAAAGTCCGCAGGCGCCCGACGGATCGAGGCCGGGCCCCTCGCAGGAATGTGGCCCTCGCCCCTGCGCCGCGCACCGTCGGCTCCAAGAGAGCCTGCAAGGGGCTGAGGCTGCACGGGCCGAGGGCGGATCCTCCCTCGAGCTGCGGGCTCCAGCCTCCGCGCCGCGCGCGCTCGCGGTGAGCGCGGCCCTCGCCTTTTCGCGCCGCGCACACGAGATCCTCAGAAGTTCGCCTTCGCAGGAGATCGACGGATGGAGGGCGGGTCGTGTTCCAAATGTATCGCTCGCCTCCTCCTCCCCCTCCTCCTCCTCTCCTCCTCCTCCTCCTCCTCCTCCTCCTCCTCCTCCTCCTCCTCCTCCTCTTCGTCCGCCTCCTTCGCCCCTGTGCCGCGCACCTCGTTCTTGAAAAGTTGGTTCCACATGTGGCTCTCGCCTTCGTGCCGCGCACGTTCTCCTGAAAAGATTGCAAGAGTTTCTCGGCTGGAGGGCGGGTCGTTTTCAACACGTGTTCCTCGCCTCAGCGCCACGCACATTCGTCTGAAAAGTCTACAACAGTTTAACCGATTCTGATGTTCGGCGTCCCAGAGATGGTGTTCCGCCACGGTTGAAGGTTATTAGGGCGCGACTGTCACGTTAATTCGCGGTGCTGAAGTTCCAGGAATGGTGCCATTGCTCGATGCAGGATCGTCAGGAGGCAATAGTAATGTTGATTCGCGGCCTTGTGAAGTGCAAGGAGTAATGCTTTCGCGCGGTGGACGATTATCAGACGGCAGTCTTCCAACGGGGCACTTCCAGCAGCGAAAATAGATTCGCGTAGGGACATACAGAGAGGGAGCATGAAGGGAGGGTGTAGTGCAACATCGTTGATGCCCCTTCGGTTTACACTTGTCCTCCTCCACCTCCTTCTTCTCCTCATCATCTCCTCCTCCTCAGCATCATCATCACCATCAACAACAACATCAGCACCAGCAGCAGCGAAAGTAGCAGCATCCTCCTCATCCCCCCTCCTCCTCCTATCAACATCATCAGCATCATCAGCATCATCGTCATCATCATCATCAGCAGCATCATCATCAGCAGCAGCAGTAGCAGCATCATCATCGTCATCATCACATCCTCCTCCTCCTCCTCCTCCTCCTCCTCCTCCTCCTCCTCATCCTCATCCTCATCCTCTTCCTCATCCTCATCCTCATCCTCATCCTCATCCTCATCCTCATCATCTCCTCCTCCTCCTCCTCCTCCTCCTCCTCCGCCTCCTCCTCCTCCTCCCCCTCCTCCTCCTCCCCCTCCTCCTCCTCCTCCCTCCTCCTCCTCCTCCTCCTCCACCTCCTCCTCCTCCTCCTCCTCCCAAGCTGCCAGCTCGGCCCGAGCCCTGCGGGCTCGGCGCGAGCCAGCGCCACCGGCGCCCCCCCGCGCCGCCCTCTCTCCTCCCGCCGCGTGCCTTCCATCCCTCCGTGGGCCGTGATGGAGGAGCCGAGGCGGCGTCGCCCCAACCGGTCAGCCGCGGCTCGGCGGGCGCAGTATCGCCGCGCCGAGTGCCGCACGGTCGAGCGGCTCCTGGCGGCATTCGCCGAGCTGCGCGGCCATCGTGGAGGCGCCCCCACGCGCTTGGGGGCCGCCCTGGCCGCAGCTCTGGCGCCCGCGGCCTCGCCGGACGTCGCTGCGGAGGATGCCGCCGGCTCCGAGGCGGCCGACCTCGGCATCGAGCGTGAGTCCCAGGCCGAGCGTGTGGAGGGACCGCCTGACGACGCGCCCCAGCCCACGGCGGCGACGGGGGGCGCGGCGGAGCCCAGCCTCGCCGACATGGTCCGTGCCCTTCGCGGGGAGCTCGCAGAGGTGGTCGCCGAGAGCCGGGCAGAGGCCATCGCGGCCGAGCAGGCGGCGGAGAACGAGAAGGAAAAGGAGTCGACGGCGACGGACGTGCTGCGGGCCATGCAGGGCGGCCGCTTCGGCTCGGTTGCCGTGCCGCTGGGCGGACCAGCTGCGGGCGCCGAGGGCGCGGCCCAAGGGCCCCTACGGGGGATGACTGCCCATCCGCTGGCCGCTGTGGCGGGCTGGGCAGGCAGCACGACGGGGTCGCAGAGCGACTCAGCTGGCAGCGTTCCTGCAGGCTCGCACGGATCTGGGAGGACGATCCCTGGCATCGCGCCGCCGTCGGACGATCCAGCGAACTGTAAGCAACAATAGCCACGTCTGCAGTGGGCATTTGGTCTTTGCAATCGTTGTTGTTCCTCCCATGTCACACATGGTGTTGGTCACACGCTGTGTATTGCAATTGTATTATTGCCTCACGTTTCTCTGATGGTAATGTTGTTTGCAGTGCGATTCTCGCCCAGCATTTTGTTCGGGCCATGCTATACACTTCTGGATGGGGCCTTGACGAGCTGCCCGTTCTATTATGCGAGATGGTTGTTGGAAAAGACGATTATGTTTTGGACCCATAGGTGCAGGAGCAACTATGGCTTGCAGGGTTGCCCGTTGACCTTTCTGTTGACTGGTAGGGCCGCATCGAGTCTGATTCGCCTCCGTTTAGCCTATGTCCGAAAGGCAGTGGATTCATGTGTCTTGGAGTTGTTGGCTTGCTTGCATTGTCTCGCTTGTGTGTGTGCGTGCGCGTGTGCGTGTGTCATGCTCGTGCTTGCACACCAATAAGAGACTCTGGAATTGGATATCACTTCGTGATTGGTCTTATCTTATCTTACCTCCTCCTCCTCCTCCTCCTCCTCCTCCTCCTCCTCCCTCCTCCACCTCTTTCTCCTCCTCCTCCTCCTCCTCCTCCTCCGTCAGCGGCCTCTCCCGTCCTCCGCCAGAGCCCCCCAGGAGTCCCAAAGGCGCCCAGAAACGTCAAAATCCTCCTCGGTCCTCGACCTTCCCTCCTGCTTGATTCTCGATTGCTAGGAGGGGTGGTGGTGACCGAGGGCAAGTAGCTGGGAGAACCAGGGAAAGCAGGGAGAGCGCGAAAATCAGGGGAAGCGACAGCTGCGCGGCCTAGGCGGCGAGCAGGATGAGCGGGAAGGGGGGAGTGCGCAGGGAAGGGAGAGCAGAGGGAGGAAGGAGTGAGCGGGGGGGGGGTCAGGGGAGTGGTGGCAAGACAAGGAGAGAGGGGAGGAAGGCAGGCTGGGCGCGCTGGATCGGAGGAGCAGCAGCACCCTCCCCAGGCCGGGGGGGAGAACGAGGAGCAGGGGCAGGACGGGGGGCCGGAGGGAAGAGGAATGGAGGGCGCCGCCAGCCTCTCGAGGGAGGTCCCCGCGCGCTGGCGCGGGGAGGGCCCTTCCCCCTGCCCGCCCCAGGTTCCCCGGGGGCACGCTCCGCCACCGCTGCTTTTTTCAGGGAGGCGGCGCCCAGCGCGGGCCCGTTCACGGCGGGCGCTCGAGGAGCAGCGTCAGCTTCCCGTCCGGGCCGTCCCTGTTGGAGAGCATGGCCATGGACACCTCGTCCGCGCTCAGGCCGTCCACCTTCACCACGTCCTTGACCCTCACGGGCTCGGCCCCGAGCATCTTGTCGAAGAAGCTGGGCTCGAGCCCAGGCCCCATGCGCGACACCGCGCGCACGAAGTCACCCGGGCGGATCCCCAGCCTCTCGGCCTCGCTGCGCTCGCCCACGGCCTCGACGACGATGGCGTTCAGGTTGCTCACCGCCGGCGCCTCTGGGGGCCTCTCGGCCGTCCCGATCTGCATTCCGAGCGGCATCTCCGCTATGAACACCATGAGCCGCTCTCCCCCGGCATCGAAGTAGGGCGTAAGGTCCGAGCCCCAGAGGACCGCCTGGTTGTCGTCGAGGGGCAGCGTCACCCGCACGTGGGCTGCGCCTGGCACGAGCGCCCAATCGCTGAAGTCCCCCACCGGCGGCAACACGTCCACGGGCACGTCCAGCCCCGCCAGCCTCGAGCCCTGCGGCAGCGAGATGGGGCGCTCGTCCACGACCGGTGGCAGCCTGGCCACGGCCTCGAGCTCGATCAGCACCGCCTGCAGGGCAGTGTTGGCGGCACTCAGCCGCTCGAACGCCTGGTCGTCCGCGCTGCCCTCCTCGCACGCGGCGCGCACGGCCGCCGCCTCCGCCCCCGCGCGCGCCGCCCCGCCGAGCTTCTGCTCCAGCTCGGCCAGCTGGCCCAGCAGCGCCCCCGCGCGCTCGCGCTGCGCCTCCAGCGCCTCGCCCCACGCGCCCCCGCCGGCTCCACCCGCCGCGGCCCGGCGGGGCCCGCCGCGGCCCCGCAGCCCCGCCTCCGGCGGCGCCGCGGCCGGCACCCAGGCGGCAGCGGCCAGGCCAGAGCGCAGCAAGGGCGCGGAGGCCACGGCCGCGGCGCCCAGCAGGGCGGAGGCCAGCGGGCGGCGGCCGCGCCCCGCGGGCCCCGAGCCCACAGGGCTGCGGCGGCGGCGCTGCGCCATCGGCCCGCCCGGCCCGGCGAGCAGCAAGGGGGGCCCGGTCCTGCGCGGCACGCCGTGCGCCGAGCCGCAGCCGCGGAGGCGAGAACGGGGGCGAGGACGGCGAGGACAGGCCGCAGAGGGGCGGGGGCGGGGGCAAGGGCAACGGCGGGGAACAGAGGCGAAGGCGAGATCGAGGACGAGGAGAGACGAGGAGGAGGGCTGCCAGGCGTGGTCGGCCAAGCGCGAGTCAATCCAGAGCTGAGTCACAATCGGTGCCAGTCCGCGTGATTATTTCTGTTGCCCGAAGTCGCGTCAAAAGATCGCAAACATAACGCACGACAGTCAGGCCTCGCAATTATCACATCACGGCAAGCCCGCATCACGACCGCCTTACAAATTACTCGGCGCGAAGACCCCCATATCTGCAGATCCTTTCCAGACACGTCCTGCTGTGGGTGTCTGTGAGTTTTCCTCCTCCTCCTCCTCCTACTCCTCCTCCTCCTCCTCATCATCATCCTCTTTTTCCTCCTTCTCCTCCCCTCCTTCCTGCATGCATTCCCCCCTCGAGGAGCGAACGCCACCAAGGGGGAAGGAGGAATAGTTGGCCGACCCAACCCAGCTATCCTGCCCTGGCGGGCCCGCCCTGGAAGTCCAGGCCCGTGATGGGCGCAGCAGCTCGGGCACTCTCGCGGAGGGCTTGGCTAGCCAGTCCCCCCTCAAGGAAGAGCCGGAGGAGGAGTCGGAGTCGGAATCGAGGAGGAGGAGGAGGAGGAGGAGGAGGAGGAGGAGGAGGAGGAGGAGGAAGAGGAGGAACAGGAGGAGTAGGAGGAGGAGGAGGAAGAGTAGGAGGAGGAGGAGGAGGAGGAGGAGGAGGAGGAGGAGGAGGAGGAGGAGGGAAGGAGGAGGAGGAGGAGGAGGAGGAGGGAGGAGGAGGAGAAGAAGGGGGCGGCGGCGGCGGCAACATCAGGTGCACGGGTGTCTGTAACTCAGCGCCGGTGGAAAACTGCCCAGCACTGCTTAAAGACCCAAGCACCTCGAGTGCGCTCGAAAGCGGGCAGTGCCAAGGGGGGGGGCTTGAACGCCCCGCGGTGGACACCAGCCTCGGAGATATCCCTGGAGCCACCGAGCGTCCCCGACAAAATTAGGATGCTACTACAGTAGGCCGAGACGAAATGGAACGCAAGCAAGAATAGAACTTAATTAATAGCCCAACTCTATCCCTGCGTCCTCGTCCTTCGGTGCGTTTCAGGATCAGGTCCCCGAGGGATTCGTCCAACTAAACGAAGGATGCTGGCCTCCAAAGACCGACCCACAGGATTCCGAAAAGGAGGAGGGAGGCTCAGCGGCCGAGGACGAGGGGGGTTTAAAGTCGCACTCGAGGACGAGGGGGGTTGGGGCTCCAAAAAGTTTCGAGGAGGGAGGTCAAGCGGGGGAGGCGTCAAAGGACGAGTCAGGGGAGGAGGAGGAGGAGGGTGACGCTCTCTAGCAGGCCCAGGGTTACTCGGGCTCAGGCACTCGCGAGGCGGCGGAGCAGGATATGATGGCAAAGCCGCTCTAGCTAGTGAACTCACCCTCAGTGGCGTCATCGTTCGGGGTGTCGAACTCATTCTCTGTGGCGAGGTCATTCTGTGTGTCGAATCATTCTGGGAGGCAATGTCATTCGATGTGTCGAAATCGTTCTTTGGGGAGGCTGTGTCCACGATGTATCTACATCTCGGCGTGATCCAACAACAGCTGCATGATCCGCTCGTTGTGCGACCTGGGTGGGGTCCCACGCTTGATCTCCGCCCCGAGCTGCTTCAAGGAGTCGAGCAGCTGCGGCACGACGCCAGAGCTCTCTGCCGAGATGTGTATCTTCATTGTCTTCCTGTCGTGTGTGTATGATATCCTGCAGTGCCGTACCGTGTCGCACATCTTCTCGTTGGTCATCGATCCGTCCGCCTTGACTGCGTCGAGATAGTCCGCAATCACCTCCGCGTTGGCCGCTCCGACTCTCTCGCCTTGCTGACGGACCGCGCCGAGCAAGGCCAGCCACAAATGTGGGCGTGGAACTCCTAGGGCGTCTAACTCTGGTACCTTGGCCTTCTCGCGCAGCGCCTGCGCGTTCTCCCGCCGCAGCCTGGTGGCCTCTTGGACAAAGAACTGGCTGGTGATCCTCATGGCCTGGCAAATCTGGTGCTTCTTCTCGAGATGGATATGGTGGAACGCCGTCGCCTCCAGCGCTGCGATGCTCTGTGTGTTGCGCAGCGTCATGCGAACCAGAGCTGGGAAGAACGCCTGAATGAGCTCCATCGGGATGGCCTCCGTCTGCAACCTCGTGATATCCTGCCTCTGGAGTCCGAACGTGTTGTCGGCCTGGTCGAATACGTCGGCGAGCGCCCTGGTGATCCGATCCAACTCTGGTCCCACTCGCTGCTGCTGTTGCTGCTGTTGGTGAGGAGCGCCTCCCTCCGCCAGTCGGGCCGCCTGCTGAGAACCTAGAGCTCCTTCCGCGCGTCCGACTCGGGGGGCCTGGTCTCCTCCGCGTCGGATGGGTCGGCCTCGGCGGTCGCCGCTGCGTGAGCGGAGGGCGCGGCTTCGCTCCTCGGCGCCTTGGCTCATCGCCCTCTCCGCCAAATCCATGTTCGTCGAATACTAGTGCTGGCGGCGGTGGGGCGTGGACGTCTCTGATGTGCCTCTGAAGCTCTGCGAAAGTCTCGAAAGGCTCAATGTGTCTTGAGCCTGGCGGCATACCGTCCACGAAACAATGCATAACCGAATCCAAGTCCTGACAGAATGGACAGTGCAAATCAACAGGTTCCTGGACAGGCGGAGCATAGGGACTCATATCACACAAACATCTCCCCCTACGAAGCGATTGTACAACATGCCTCCTGGCGGTAACCTGGCTCCGAAAGGTCGACATACAGGAAAGGCACTGATTTGACAAAACCAACATATTTGAGGGGACCCGCATCTTGTGGGCAGGATGATGACACTGGTGTGCTATCAACGCCCCCCGACTGTAGTAGACCATCCCACACCTCCCTCCATCCTCACCAGGTAGATCGCAGACGTGCTCTTGTAGGGGCTCCTCAGGGGGGTGAATCTGGGATCTTCGGGCCTGTGCCTGGCTGCGGAGCTCTGGAACTTTACGAAGAAGAGTAGGGCTGAAACTGCAGAACTTCTTACTCACGGACGGCACAGTGAGGATCTCAAGGAGCGAGTGCGTCGCAAGAAACTCGGGGCCACTGCGCAGATACTGTAAAGCCCCGACATCTTGCTCGAATTGCTTGGCCCACGGATTCGCGTTGCTGGCAATCATGCCAGTCGGCGTGAGGAGAAGGGGGAAGGAGGGAGGGGGAGGGAGGAGGAGGAGGAGGAGGAGGAGGAGGAGGAGGAGGAGGAGGAGAGAGGAGGAGGAGGAGGAGAGGGGAGGAGGAGGAGGAGGAGGAGGGAGGAGGAGGAGGAGGAGGAGGAGGAGGAGAAGGGGGAGGAGGAGGAGGAGGAGGAGGAGGAGGAGGAGGAGGAGGAGGAGGGGGAGGAGGGGGAGGGGGAGGGAGGACGAGAAGGAGGAGGAGGAGGAGGAGGAGGAGGAGGAGGAGGAGGAGGAGGAGGGAGGAGGGAGGGGAGGAGGAGGGAGGGAGGAGGACGAGAAGGGAGGAGGAGGAGGAGGAGGAGGAGGAGGATGAGGAGGAGGAGGAGGCAGGAGGAGGAGGAGGCAAGAGGAGCAGGCGGCGGCGGCGGCGGCAGAGCGGCGGAAGCTCACGCAGGCCGCGGCCCGGCGCGGGAGCGCCCGGACGAGCACGCGACGGAGAGCTCGGCGCTCGAGTCCGGCCGCAGGAAGCCCGCGGAGGTGGAGACCTGCGGGCCGCGCCGCGCGAGGCCTCGGGTCGGGCAGGTCCCCCTACAGGCGGATGTTGGGCGTCAAACAAAAGGAGTCAAACGTAGCCAAAAAAAACATCGGGAAATCATACCATAGTCAAAAAATAACCACACATTGCCACAAACAAAAAAGCATCGGGTAAAATAGTCCAAAACGTTCAAAAATAGTCAAAAATAGTCCGCAAATATTTTTGTGATTGTCTTTGAAGACTCCTCCTGTAGAGGGGCACGCCCGACACAAGCGAGGCCACGAGGAGCGCGCGGCGCCGAGGGGGGGCAGCTGCGCTGCCTGCGGCCCTCGGGAATCGGGGTGCCCAGGCACCGTCGTGGCGCGACCCCCAAAAAAAAGGCAGCAGCAGCAGCCATAACAACAACAGCAACAACAACAACAACAACACCAACCAACCAACCAACCAACCAACCAACCAACCAACCAACCAACCAACCAACCAACCAACCACCACCACCAACAACAACAGCAACAGCAACAGCAACAGTAACAACAGCAACAGCAACGGCAACAGCAACAACAACAGCAGCAACATCAATAGCAACAGCAACAGCAACAACAACAGCAACAACAACAACAACAGCAACAGCAACAACAACAAGAGCAACAACAACAACCATCGTTTTAAGACTGGTCGCTCCGATCTGCCCACGTGCCAAGCAATACGTATATCCCAGACCCTCGGTACCCGCCCTCGTCGTCTTCGATCGTACCCCCTTGGGGGTATATCGTCGTTACCTGCCACGCGTAGTTAGCGCAGGCCCTAAAACAAGGGAAGAGAGTACGGGTGGAAAGGGGAGGGAGAAGAACCCAGGCCTCCACTAACTTGCTTGAATTACGGGAAAGTCTCGAGCGAGAGCGCCGGGGCCTTCTTGGCCACGGGCTCTCGGAGTAAATCGTGAGGAAGTATCGAGCAGGAACCCTTGTCGTCGTGGCTGGGCCGCCGCCAACTTAATTGAATTGCAAGGAAGTCTCGAGTGAGACCGCCATTCCTGAGTTCGGGGGCCTCTCTGGCCAGGGTGTCTCGGGGTAAATTGTGAGGAAGTATCGAGCGGGAGCGGTTGTTGTCGTAGCTGGGCCTCCAAAGGACCACATGTAGGCTCAAGCCAACGCTCGAACGGGAGCCTCAACAACAACAACAACAACAACAACAACAACAACTACTACTACCACCACCACCACGACTACTACTACTACTACTACTACTACTACTGCTATTACTACTACTACTACTACTACTACTACTACTACTACTACTACTACTACTACTACTACTACTACTACTACTACTACTACTACTACTACTACTACTACTACTACTACTACTACTACTACTACTACTACTACTACTACTACTACTACTACTACTACTACTACTACTACTACTACTACTACTACTACTACTACTACTACTACTACTACTACTACTACTACTACTACTACTACTACTACTACTACTACTACTACTACCCTTTTAAGACTGTTCGCCCGTATCTGCTCGAGTGTCCATTAACGCGAATTTCCCAAACCCTCGATACCCGCCATCTTCGTCTTCGATCGAACCCCTTTGGGGGGGTATACCTTTCTTCCCTGCAGGCCAGGCCCCGGCAAGCGGCGGGGCGGCCGCGGGCCGTCGGCCTGGCCAGCGGCAGCGCTGATCGGCGGGGCGGCCGCGGACCGTCGACCCGACCCCAAGAGGGACGGACAGGGAACCGACCACGACGACGACGACGTCGACGACGACGGCGACGACGACGACGACGACGACGACGGCGAAGACGACGACGAGCGAAAGCGAGAGCGAGAGAGAACGACAGCAGGGCCATAAGGACAAGGACACGAAGTACGCCACGAAGGGCGACAGCGGGGACACGAAGGGAATGCGTATGGGGCCACGAAGAGCGCGAACGAGCGGGGGGCCACGAAGTGCAGATAATGCGGGGCCACAGAAGGCAACGATGGGGCCACTGAGGGTAGCAACTGGGCCACGTAGGACAGTGAGGGGGCCACAAACGGCGACAGCGGGGCCACGAAGGGCACGCACATGGGGCCACAACGGGCGCGAACGAGTGGGGGCCACGAAGGGCATACGTATACTGGGCCGCGGAGGGCAAGGACGCGGCCACTCAGGGCAGCAACGGGGCCACGAACGGCAGCGAGGGGGCCACGAAGGGCATGCATATGGGACCACCTCGGGCGCGAACGAGCGGGGGCCACGAAGGGCATGCATATATGGGGCCATGAAGGGCAGGGGCGGGGCCACGAAGGGCAGCGAGGGGGCCACGAAGGGCTGCAACGGCAGCGAGAGGGCCACGAAAGGCTGCAACGGGGCCACGAAAAAAAACGAGGGGGCCACGAAGGGCTGCAACGGGGCCACGAAGGGCAGGCCACGAGAGGCTGCAACGGGGCCACAAAGGGCATCGAGGGGGCCACGAAGGGCTGCAACGGGGCCACGAAGGGCAGCGTGGGGGCCACGAAGGGCTGCAACGGAGCCACGAAGGGCAGCGAGATCCCGATTCCCAGGTAATCTGCGCGGGAGTCCTAGGCGTGAGCGCCACTCCTGGGCGCCTGGGTGTCGGGAGCGCGGCGCTTGAGCAAATTCCAAAAAAATCCAACGCGAGGGCGCTATTCTTCAGTAAATTGCAAGCAAGTCTCCAGCGGGAGCACGACTCCAAAGCGCCAGGAGAGCGATTCCTGAATCAATTGTGAAGGAATCCCAAGCGAGAGCGCGATTCCTGAATAAAATGCGAGGACGTTTCGGGCGGGAGCAAGGGTCCTGGCTAAATTGTGAGGAAGTCTCAAGCCTGAGCCGTTGTTGTTGTAACCCGGGGGCCAGGGGCCCAGGTTGAGCCTCAAGACTTTCTTTCGTAAAAAACAGGTTGCGAGCGTCGAGGTGCACACTTCGACTCACATAAAACAGTCTGCACCGGTTGGGGGATCAACACTAATTATTCTTCAGAAATGCGAGTTCAACAACAACCACAACAACAACAACCACAACCACAACCACAACAGCAACAACAACAACAACGACAACGACAACGACAACGACAACGACAAAGACAACGACAACAACAACAACAACAACAACAACAACAACAACAATCACTTTACCCGAACGCTCAGTGTTCTCACCAGTGCCAGGGTTTTCATGCGACGCCAGCCAATACCCCCACTTTGTGGGGGGGCAGTGCAAGCTCTACCAAATATCCACACGACTCTTCGCCACCACCCACACCCAGCTTCCCGCCCTATGACGTTCGGACACTTCACTTCGTGGCCTGCGGACGACCGTGGCTACTACACTGGCGTGGAGTACACACCCACAGAAGTTGTTAAGCCTACGTTCGTACACCCACAGAAGTTGTTAAGCCTTGTTAACCCACAGAAGTTGTTAAGCCTTCCACAGAACATCTGTTGCATATGATGCATATGGTACATGATACACATGATACACATGATACGTACTCACAAGATAGTTGATCACATCTTTAGGGCAAATTCCTGAGGGATGTGGGAATACACAAGAGAGAGAGGATATGGTTGTCCCGATGGTTGTCTCGATGGTTGTCCCGATGGTTGTCCTGATGGTTGTGGTTGTCCCGATCGTTGTCCCGATGATTGTCCCGATGGTTGTCCTGATGGTTGTGCTTGTCCCGATCGTTGTCCCGATGACTGTCCCGATGATTGTCCCGATGGTTGTCCCGATGGTTGTTCCGAAGGTTGTCCCGATGGTTGTCCCGATGGTTGTGAGCGATGCCGGATCCTCACGCCCCCCGCCGGAGGAGGAGGAGGAGGAGGAGCAGGACAAGGAGGAAAGGAGAGAAGAGAGAGGAGGGGC